AGGAATTTAAGCTAGATATTTATAGTTATGGAAACTAGATATTTATAAAAAAAAAAGTAACTCTAATTTCATTCAACCGTGATTTTACGTGGCATTTTAGTTAACACGTTTAGACCTGTTCCCATGATATTTCGCAAGAAAATAAGTCGTATTTTGGATGAAGACGAAATGGAAACCAGAGAAGTTCGAGTTGCATCATCAAAAGGACTTTGTCCAGTTGTTTTTCCTGTATTTTCCAAAAAAAAAATCAAAACAGCATACTTTAGTTCGTTTCATCTTAAAGCGGACTTTGGCCAGTTGTTGTTCCTCTATTTCTAAGAAAAGAAAATCAAAACAAGTACCTAAACCGGTTGCGTCGTAACAGGACTTTGACCACTTGCTGTTCCGCCCTTTTCTAGAAAAAAATTGAAACTCTATACCAAGGTTACGTCATAAAGTAGAATTTTTTTACTTTACATAACCAGTCATTGATCAGTCACAGAGCCATTAGTGTTCCTGTTTAAGGGCATACGAGCTGGTCATACAGACACTCGCTCCCTGGACTGATATCGGAGGCAAACCTTTCTACAAAAGCAGAGAATCTCCACGCAAGTAGGTGGATACATTTACTTGTTAAGGCATTTCTTTGAACTTTCAGCATAAGACAATTTCTAAACCATTTTCGTTTTCGTTTTTTGTGAAAGAAATGCCATTTTCCAGTCGCTTACATAAGTGTTGGGAAGAGTTTGTTGGTTGGTCGTTTCCTGTAGCTTCTATCATGGGATGTGCCCCCATAAATTATACAGTTGCCTCCTGAAAAAGAGCTTGAAACTAGGCAGTCGTGTTTCACTATAAAGCGGACTTTGATCGGCCGTTACTTCCCTACTTCCATGAAACTAAGAATAAATCTAGATTGTGTTGCTGCGTCACAAAGCGGACTTTGATCGCCTGTTGTCTCCTTTATCTCCTCGAAGCAAAATCGAGGAATTGAAACTAGATATTTATACTTATTAGTCAGATAGATACATAATACAATTTTTGTGAGAAAATACTCCGAGGGAACTAGCCCTGCAAGCACTTTCCCGCCAGCACTTACCGATCGAGAATTGCATCAGTTGTCAAGGAATTAAGCAACCTGGATGAGCATATGCATATGTTCGAATATTCCTTAAAACCTTCTGATAATCTGCCCGAACCCACCCCTCGCCACTGAACCGTAATGTTTTCACTCAGCAGCTGGTCAGCGGTCACGCACTGGTTGAATTGAATGATTTTTCTTTATTTTGTTAAGAGCTACGATCGAAACTCGTCAAGCGATTCAGATTTTACCAGCATATAGCGAAACCCACATTCAAAGCGAAAGCTCGACTTACTTCACTAACGGATTTGAACAATTTTTGCCCAACATTTCGCCGAAATCTAGAATCAACGCCAGTCGTTAGGTCAGGTTAGGCCGGTTTCACATTTCCAAGTTTTAACCAGAAATCAATCCCCAATAAGGATAGGTC